CTATATAACATGTCGATCATGCTACAGACGCTTTAATGCTCAAGCTGCTGCAAGACATATTCCGGTTTGTACCAACAGAAGGAGAGAAGTTGGCGACCCTGTGTCTTATGCCTTCCGGACAGTCCCAGCTGACTACGGAAGCAAAAATTACTATGCAAAACAGGTCAGAAAAGGCTTTGAAAATGATAGGCCTATATGCACTAACTGTGAACATACAGTAGTATAAACACATTTCTGAGGTATATTATTTATTCAAATTTTTTTAACAGTAAAATGCACATGGGTGAATTGTCTATGAATTGACTAAAGTTAAAAATGTAGGCCTATAATAGTTAACATGACGTGGACAGGTAAAATGGCGTGTGACATTGCTCATGATAAACATATCGAGTACGACCCTTCAATAAAATGCTTTTCATCGGTTGTATGAAACAAAATCTGGCTGTGAAAGTGAAGCCGGGGTTGAAAAGGTGTTTGGACCGATTAATTTCAGTAAAGTGTACGTTAACCGTAGGCTGAAGGACTATTTTAAAGGCAGGTATTGTTGAAGAATACATTTATATTGTGTGACTATAAACCCTAGATTAATCAACTTCAGGCGTTACGCCACTGATACTTTCTCAAAATTAGTGGAGCTGAGCTATAATGGGAGCTGAGTGTATATATATTTTAAGCATTGCATCACCATCATCCTTACGATCGTCATCATCATCATCATCATCATCGTCGTCGTCGTCGTCGTCGTCATTATCATCATCACCACCATCTATGTTTTCGTACCATTTGAATTTGTCTCTTTAAATCAATTTATTATATCAGTATGCGAAAACAATACAAAAACCAGTAGTACAACAAAAAAGCCCAAGAAGGATCATACACAACAATGACACTCAACACAGCAATGCAGTTTTTGAAGATGAGAGCGATTGGCCTGTTCCAACTAACAGAAGTTGTACATCAAATTCTAGCATATTCCCATACAACGGAAGCAGCACTGAGCGTATCTACCAAGGTCAGTTGTAAAACATTTACGATAAAGTTAGAAAAACTCAGATATTCGGTCGACATTTCCTTTAGGCCTCGCTCTTGGATATTGTTGCTAAAGGTGGCAGCGTTAATGTACGCATAAAATGCGTTGGGCATGCGTATGGGTTAGTAAATGAAAAGTTGTGATTGGTCAGGGTGATTGGCTCTCTGTAAAATGTCAAATAAAACAAGGTTTGCTATTTAAAGGACGAACCAATCAATTCAAAGACACTGATCGAAGTAATTCAGTTTTTACTAATTTACAGACTTTCATAATTACGAAAATCCGTTGATCAGACGTTTATTTATTATTCGCAAGCTTACGAAAACGATTACGAATTCGGATACGTCATCAAATTTGCATACAACCCTTCCCCAGTAGCATATCTGTCACAACTTAGGCGATTCATTTTTTGTTTGCATAAATGCAAGGATCATATTCAACTCGTTCAGCATAATTTTTAAGAATGTTTGAGGCACGAATGACGATGATGATAATGACGTATTCGTTTTCGTTATCGTTTTCGTAAGGTTTGCGAAATTTCTCTACTAACGTGAACATGTTTAGGAATGAACCCTGCTAATTTCCCACAAAACGACAGCGTGGGACAACACGTGAGTTTGTGGGATATGTGCGTATTCCTGGTCCTGTTCTGATTGGTCAGTTGTTAAGTTTGATTGACATCAAAGGTCCATTGCTATGAGGCAAAAGGCCCCAATGCAATATTTTCTCGGATTCTGGAATTTGAAAATATTAATCTAATAAAATTATTTATCGTTGACATTTTTTTGTTTTAGATCAACCTAATGTTTTTACAACTACTGGTTTAACACCTGTAATGATATCGGGAAACCGATACCGACAGTACCCACAGTCTGGGTATGTTAGATCACCACCAAAGAAAGCCATCTCACAACCTCGGATTTCAATATCACAGCAACCAAATAACGCAGTTCTTCATAGAAGAGGGGGCAATGCCCAGATAAGGTACCGTAAAGTTTAAGTTTGTTTTTCTTTTACACATAGTTGCCTATTTGCTCCAGTGCTATAGAGGACTAGCCGTTACTGCTTCTGATAGTTTGTTGTTATTGTCATTGTTGTTCATGAGAATGATGTTGTTTGTTTGATGATTGTGAGGATATAATGCTGTTTCAAGTCATGGGTATGGGATTGTTAGACAAATAATAACCATCAACCATCACATCGTTTTTTATAGAGTGTAACCTATAGACGAATAAGTGAAAATAATAATAATAATAATAATAATAATAATAATAATAATAATAATAATAATAATAATAATAATAACGATAATGATAATAATAATTATGATGATTATGTATAACAATATTAATAAATAATAGTGATAATAATTATGGTATGAAAATAATACTTTTCAAAACGTATTGGAAAACCTCTACCTCTGGGGTACCGGTCTCTTTAGTTTGAGGACTGATTGGTGTTATATTATTAGTGAATATACAGTCCATCATTTTTTACCACTTTGTATTTTATCAGACGTGATTAGCTGTTATTACACAAAATGAAGCGCTATATAAGTCTAAGTCAAACATATTAACATTATATAGGCCTACGCTCTCTTTTGTGTTTATACAGTCGATCATTTCCAGAACCGACGACCTCCAGAAAGCCCACGAGTGTTAGAGCCAGAAGTACTGTGAGTTCATCTGCCAGAGGTCCGGGTCGACAAACTGCAAGCCCACGTCAAAAACTATTACCAGCGAGGGAGAGTCACAATACAAACGGAAACATTGCGTACAGTTTTGGGAATTTGAATGTCTATTACGATGATTGATAGTTGTCTGATTTTGCAATATTTAAATGCATCGAGAAACTAGCATCGTTGCGCGCATGTGCAAGATTGTCAAAAATCAGTTGTTTCCAATTGGATTCGAATTACCAACGAAGCACCAGTCGGATACGGCGTCTGAATAGGCAGCAGTAGGTCCTGGGTTCGAATCCCTGTTGGTTCATTTTTTTAACACTCATATCGCTGTGCCGTATACAATCGACGAATGGCGTCGGAATATGCTTCAAAATATATATGTAACTGTTCAACCGTGGCAATATACAGTATTTTAAACCTGGACGTTATCGTGCAGAAATGGATTTATGTCACCGTCTCCTTAAAAGCTTGTAACCAGTGTTTATCGACGACGGCAATATTAAATGACAGAGTGTTATATAAAATCTCTGTTGCGTGTATACTTTGCAATACAATATGTTTATTTTTTAACGCTTTGTAAAACGTTTCATACATCTCAGTATATTATATTCATTATACTGTATTTATTTTTATATGTAATTACGTAATTTTTAACTCAAAAATGCATATATAATGTGACGTATGTAAGAAAGCCGTAAATATTGTATTTTTATTCTGATTATGCACAAAAATTTATGATATTGTGTATGTGTTAACTGACCAATATGCGACGATCTCTTACACGTTGCGATAGAAAACTTCAACATATTTCGCATTTGAAATAAACTTCTGTCAAATATTATTGACAACGCATTTTGTGTTTATGCAATTCTGTGTATGTATACATAGCTTGGCAAAACCTCCTTGTTTCGAATAAGCCGGACACACTGTGTCCCGACGACGGCCGTCGGCGCAGTGAGCAGTGCGTCGACGCGCGTGCAATGACTCCTTTTTAGTGACAATCCCCTCAGACTGCTGCCACCGACAATCAACAGACGTTGCGTCGTCAACCGCACGTACGGCCACCGCACGGCGCACCGTCTGCCCGGCTTTAGCTAACTAGCCAAAAATAAAGACACCCTTGGTTATAGGCATATTTAAACTTAACCATTTATTGAATGATTGTGTACGTATTGTAAGATTTCCACAAATTTTAATACTTCTACGGTACTAGGTACTCGGTTGTAGTTAATAACAACTGCTAATAATAACAAGCTAATGGGCTTGTAGAATGCAGTTTTTGGGACATGTGCACCTCATAAGACATGTTCAAGGTTTAAACATAATACGGTACAAAGTATATTATCATTAAACTGTCCTGGTTTAAAGGAACGACTAACTTTTGTTGATTTTTACAAGTAACATTATTCGCAATTCGGTATATCTGTAAACGTTGTGCTATTTATCTTTTGTTTAACTGAATAGAATATTAGTCTGTTTTGGTAAATATAATAATTCATTTACTGGCAACTTCATGGTTGATGAAATTCAGCAATAATAAAATCGGAGAATTCTATGGAGTAGTTTTTTGTATTATATAAATCCATTGATTGATTGATGGATTTATTTCTTTTCTACCAGTAATTTCCTCCTCCGCCTCCACCTCCACCACCGCCTCCTCCTCCGCCGCCGCCGCCACCACCACCACCTCCTCCGCCGCCACCTCCACCACCACCACCACCTCCTCCTCCGCCGCCTCCAGCACCAGCTTTGCATCTATTGTTTCTGCATCTTCCACGTAACTCTAGTAGGGTCTGTAGACCTCGGACAACATTGGTTTCTGTCTCTTCGTACTTCTTTTCTAATCCATCCTCAATTTCCCTTTCGATCGCAGCATCAAATTCCTAAGTGTCATCAGTGTCATCAGATAAAAAAAAAACATTGATGAAACTAACATAAAATTAAAATGCTCAGACTAATATATCGTAAACGATGTGCAATAAACGCGTTACAATTGTTTTTATATATATATTGTATAAAACCTAGTTCTTTTGAATAAGCAATAACGGTGTTTGTTTGCGGTGGATTTTCACAATTCATTCCAGTTAAGGCCAACTCAGACAGCGTCGTACGACGCAGCCCGACGCGATTTGTTGTCGCGATGATGTGCGTCGGTGGCAATCGCGTAGTAGAATATTAAACATGTTTAATATTTCTCACGACGGCTTTAAGACTGTCCCCGACGATAAATCGGGTCGGGCTGCGTCGGCCGACGCTGTCTGAGTTGGCCTTTAGATACACAAATCACCGGAATGTGTTTATTCTATGCTTCTGTTAATTTTGATAGCGGTTTCTTTGTAGATAATGTCAAGCGCTAGCACCCCACATAGATATGCCTTATTACCACTCCATGCCCACCCCAAACAGGCGAGCAATGAATAAATGCAGAATTAAAGTATTTTATAGGAAGATCACCATAGGCCTAACTCTTGTCTTTACATTTGCTTAGTATTTACTAAAACGTTCTTGCATTATTTTTTGTTTAAATATAATTGTCTTTACATTTGCTTAGTATTTACTAAAACGTTCTTGCATTATTGTTGTTTAAATATATTTTTTGTATTAAGTTTATTATAAAAAAAAAAACAAACAAAACATATTACTCATATCTGAATAGAGAAGTATAGGCCTATCACTCTTTTCACTCTATCTATTTCACTCTAATTAAATTGGAGTGAGTCACTTTATTGCACTCTTACTACATTGTGCATGTAGATAGTAGGCCTCTTTTACCTGTAGGTGTATTTTAAAAATATTATATAAGAATGGCCTAATCAATATTATTACTATTCCAGTCATATGTATAAAATGATTTAAAAACTTATGAAAAATAAAATACTTACTTCAAGTTCACGTTCTAATTCATCTTTGTTGGTGATGAATGCGCTGACGCACACTCCTAGTGTTAAGAAGACCACTATCCACTTGCTTAGAATAGCCATCGTCCGAAGTCGGTCGCAATCTCCGACGACTAACCACTGGTATCGAAACTTAAGGTGGACAAAGTTCATCTCAAATATGTGTTTAAGCAAAACGACCAATCAAAAACTTCCGTTATTGTAAAGATGAAAGCTCCTCCATAACCCTTAAGAACTTGGATCTAACTAAATACACAGTCTCTTTGAAATTTGGTTTAAACGAGATCGACTCTTCATAGAACAAATTTTGACATACAGACATATTTACACTAAAGAGACCCTGGATCCGAAGAAGAGGAATTGTGGGTTGTTCAATATTTACCTTAATTTAGCAAATTTGAACTTTCGGAATCCTTTTGTACAGTTTTTATGCATTTTTATTTTGTCAACGCAATAAAAAACAAGATGTACAACACAGTCTGCCTAAACGTTTGTTTTTTTGTTTTTTTTTGTAAATGGGAAAACCTCAAACATTAAATTGAAATTTTCAGTGGCTCATTAAAAAGAATCAGCGCTGCATGATAATTCTATAAAAGGTTTAGTTTAATTTGTCGTTCGATTTGAAAAGCTTGTGCTGATTTCACTGCAAAATTGACTTTCTATATGCCGGAATATGACCTTGAATATAAAGATTGAAAATAGAGAAGCGACTTAACACTGTCCTACCCTGAGCTTACAAAGCCAGCCCACAGTGGCGTAACGATGGGGCCCTGTGGATTTTTGAGAGTGGGGACCTTTTGAGTTTCAGTCGCCAAATTCATTGTGGGATTTTAGATGTGCTCGTTTATGTTTGTCATTGCATTCTACAGTAAACGTTTTTAACGACAAAGTAAATGATATGATACGAGTGGCAAATCCATGAATGTTAAATGATAAAGGGTCAATACTTAAAATGAAAAAAAATAGGGGCCCCTATAATTCGCCACTGGATATACAGTCGATTTTCAGGGACATTATGCTGATATGTATCAACAAAGGCCTTTTTGGGTCAGGGTACGAGATCGTGGACCATGTGGTTAGGGACCTTCGGGGCCCTGCGGACCGCCGCACGAAAGCGCATAGGCATTACGCCACCCATTCTAACACTGTTGTACCTAAAATTATATTTCTGTATGACGTTCATATATACTTTATCAACATGGTATCAAACATTTTCTTAATAAAAAATCTCAAATACCACCCCTCCCTCACGCTCGGTATGTCACACGTCAAATAGCCCCTTCTTACCAGATTTTTCTCATTAATTTCTTCACGTACTATTAATTCACATTGAGTTTATTTTGGATTATCCTTTTGATGTCTGTACTGTGTGGGTGGCGGGTGTCGTGCGTGACAGAGGTGACTGGGTGTGATGTGTACTATGCACTTACCTTTGTTATCAAAGTTTACACCTTCGCATTTAGGCCGTATTACAACATGATAGGTTATGGTTCAAGTATAACTATATTATTCAGCCGCATATAGCTTCATCTCAAAAGGTTGTCCTCACACTGAGGAAGAACACAGGTCGTGTTATAAAAATGTTTTGATTTAATAAATTATATCGCTTTATATTATGTCTACAACAGAAAAATATATATTATCATAAATAATTATATTTATATGACACGTTTCGAGCATATCTCATAATCAGGTATTTAAGTGTACATATATAT